GAAGAGTATTAAATGTGTTGTGTCCACATATGGATGAGATCTTCACATCAAAAGATGAAGTATTTTTCAGGAAACTTTCTGTTTGAATGTGTTAATTGGTTTTAATCTTGTGAAACCAGATCTCATAGTACAGTAGGCCAATACATTGGCTTTTCAATTATTGCAAAAAATCAGCCCAAACGTTGGCTGAATGTCTGATTCATATGGCACACAAAATTGGAAAGGCTTCAGGAGTTTTGAAGTCGTCATAGGATTGGTTGAATTATATAGGATTTCTGAGAGATGTGTGTGTCACGTTCTTTAATGTTCCGCCTGGAAACAAAGATGCCGTGACGCCAAACCCCTTCATGGAAGAAGAAAGCTGTCGTGTTTACAACTGTGACAATGAGCGCTTATCAGAATCAACTAAATGCTGGATTTTTAAAAGTATGTGAAATATTTAAAGTTCGTGGCATAGACTCTTTAAAATACGTCCAAGAAATTAACACACCAATCTGTTATTGTGGCGACATTTCCACACCCCTGAACATGACGCGGCACAAAGCGAAACATGATTGGTTGTTTTACCTGTCAGTCATATGACCTCTTGGGCGGTCCTTGGCCATTCAAAGTGACTAAGGTTCCCAGACCTTCTGCCCAGTGTTGCCAACTTAGCAATTTTGTTGCTAAATTTAGCAACTTTTCAGACTACTCTAGCAACGTTTTCTTCCAAAAGCACCTAGCAACAAATTTAGCTATTTTTTTTTTATTTATTTGGCAGCTTTTAGCAAATTTTGATAAGTGACTCAAACGATAAAAAGGCACAATTTACCATTTAAATTATACAAAAAGTAATTTTCCAGGATGCCTAGCAGTACACACGTCACAGGAATTAAGTTAGCTGCTATTTGCAATTGTTTAATTTAATAGTAATAATAATAATAATTGAATACTGTTATTTTTCATTTATGAGACACTTTTTTAGTAGCTTGTACCTGCGATTGTTGATGAGTTAGTACACTGTAAGAAAAATATGCAGAAAAATGGAAAAGGTGCTAGTAATTTTCCAGGACATTATCCGTTATCCGTTGTAACCCGAAAACACAAAATACAATGCGTAATTAAAAATGCAGGTACAAAAACTTATGGAAAAATCAATCCAGAAAATCCCTTCATATTAACACAGTAGATTGTGCATTATTTTTTACTTTATTTAGAGTGCAGCATACTAACTAACTACTAATAAACTGCTTTAAAGTATAAAACTTACATTGCTTTCAATAATTCAATGGATTTAAAAATAGTTATTTATATTTTACTATTATATTATGCATTTATATTGTTACGAACAAATCTAAATTAACATATATAAAATATATATGTTTTTGCTGAGATTTGACATAAGTTTGCATCGTGATCACGTAATGACGTCATCACGCAATGTCATCACAATGCTGGACAAGAGTCCAAAGTCAAACTCCAGGAAGACATTGCATCCTTGAGAACATCATACGTGACCAGACTCTCTTCTCTGGAGAGGTCCAGAGCTAGTCGGAACACATGCCACTGGTAATGTTGAAACTACAGTTTCCTTTACATCTAACTGTATATCTTTTTAATCTGGTTGAATCTTCTTGCTATCTCTCCTTAATCAGGTGACCCTCATGTGGACCAACATAAAGTAGACCCCATCACTGCACATGTGGCTTCACAGGAGCAGGCGAATGTTGACTACACTGTACCCGAGGTGCTTTGATTTCACCTAAAACTGGGTTTAAATAGGAGAGTTTTTAATGGATCTCACAAATCTAAATGAACCTTTTTTTGTTTAGGAGAATACGTCTTGTGTCAAAGGAGCTCACAGTGAAGAAAGTTCGGTTTTAGATGTGGTTGTGATTGCCACACCCGGTCAACTGGACCAGAAGCATGTTTTAGAGAAGCGAAACCTCAAGAATTACAGCTTAAAAATGAATGTGTAACTGCATTAGTTTAACAAAACATAGAGACTAATGTCTGAATGACTACAAATCTCTTTTTAGCAGGAAGAGGAGGAGGACCGCTACAAGGAAATGCTGAACCGCAGTGATAGCGAACATATCGCCACTAACTACTTCAAGCCAAAATGGACCAGTCAGCTGTTGGCTGGCGAATCTATTAAAAATACAAGTGAGAGACTGATTTAATAAAAACCATTACATATTCATATTCACTTGTTTCTCTCATGCAGCTGCTGTATGTTTATAAATTATGCTAATTCTAATCATTTTTCTCACAGTGAATTATTCTGGTTCAATCGGAAATGGTCCAATCCACCAGACTTCCGGTGCGTCCAGTTGGTCTCCTCTAAATGTGGAATCTCTCCTCCCACGCCCCTTCCGTTTGGAGTCCCTTGGAGTCCCACCTGCACCCTGCAAAGTAAAACGCAAGAAGAGCAAGACGCTCATCCCAACTGAGGACAACTGACAGGACACGGCTTTACAAATCCCTTGTATGAAAGCCTAGAACTTATAACTTTTTAAGCTGCTTTTATCTGTTTTTAATTCATTTGTTGGTATATAAAGCCATATTTTTGTTGTATTAGTGATTAATGACAAACAGGGTGATTTTGTGACCTAACCACTTTCAATTCTGAATGTCACATAACGTGGCATGTAAGCGCTGTGTACAATTTTTTAATTTTTACTAATACTACCTGAAGTAACCGAAATAATGCTACCTAATGTGCTGCACTGTTTTCATTTTGCACTGAGAGATTTCAGCACAGAAAACATACTTTCTGTGGTCTTTTAATGTCTGTGTCATTAAATATTTTTGTCCTGAAAAGCTGGTCTAATTTCATTGTCTAATAATTGGGGATGTGGCTGATCAAATTCAACATAGGGACCATGTTAAACAAAGTACACTTTCATGTGAGTGTGCATTTGTTCCTATGAGCCAGTATTAACATATATCACATTAGCAATATAAAATAGGTTGCAAATGTTGTTCGGTGTTTAAATTCTGTCTTTGATTTGCAAAATCAAATGTGTCCTTTTAGTGCACATTTTGATGATTTCACCTCTTGCAGCCAGACTCAAAACAATAAGGTGTGATAAATTTAAGTCCTAGCTTCATTGGAATGCATATGATATGTAAAAAATATATGTAAAATACCCATTCACTCCAACATTAAGCAACTGAATGTTTTGTGTATTTCTGCGACTGAAGCCCCAGAGAGTTAAGCGAGAGGAATTCACTGTAGTAAATATATGTGTTGTAATTACTGCCGTAAAGCAATCCGCCCTTATCCCGGAATACATTTGTTTAAATAGATGTAACCTTGATTAAAAACCCAATAGTTATAGTGACCTTTGGTCAGCAGACAGTAATCACTGTAAGCAAAACCACTCTGTAAAAAAACACTATCACGCTGAAGCCAAGCTGAGTATCATTTGAAACATAGTTTCAAAGTTCTCAATATATATAAAAAAATGCATTTAACAGCAGCGCATTACCTGATATATATTTCACATGTGTTTTATTAATCTAATCACATTGGGATTGAACCAGTTATATTTTTCACAATGGTTTTGCTTTCAAACATATAGTTAAATAGTTGGTTAATCAAAGCACAGTGTTTGGACTTGGATACAGTTTAAGCATAATATCCTGCTATCTGATTATACAGCTCAGCAACCAGTCAAACCTGAAACCAAGTAAGATATATCATCATGCTGAAATTATTGCTTTATTTGTGTGTGTTCTGTGGTTAAAAATTATCGTAATTTATGGCTGCTTTCCATGTGAAGTCCACACAAACAGAAGGAACCATTCTCAGTGTAAGTCATGGACTAGGTCAAATTCTGAGATAAAGAACTTTAATGACAGATGAATCTGAGAGGCCAGGTAACATGAACACCAGTCTGTTGGTTGCAACCCAAGATAATGTGCTAATCCACTGAAGTGCTGTGTCAGATCTCACTGACCGGCGTGTAAAATGAGGAGTTTGACTGATAGCTGATCTTTGGGAGCCTGGGTTCCTCAGGCCCAACAGTCTCTGGTGGAGCAGACATACTCCAATGTATTAAAAAAAAGAAAAAAAAAACAGGAAGTGATTTTCTGAAGCAACTGATTAGCAAAACAGGCATGATTCATAAAGACAGATTAGGAGCAGGCTTCCAATGGCAAGATCAAAGAGTAATTTAAGGTTAATTGCTAATCTACTTAGATGTAGTTCGAAATCGAAAAGTATCGAAAGATACTTAGGTTCACCTGGAAAAGTAAACATACAGTATCATCTTAATCTTCAGTGCTAAATTAGGCAAAGGCATCCAGGTGTTATAGTCAATTATTTAGATTCAGTAATTAATCAACTAAAAGTAAATTGCAACACTGTGCAACTGAAGTGAACTGCAATTTCTTTGCAACTAGTGCTACTAAACAGAACTGAAAAATAATGAGCATTGATCCATCAAATGCCCGAAACCCATGTCATTGGTTGAGCTAATGTCGGTCAGGATGTTTTTACAGTTTTCAGAAGAATCAGCCTACCAGTGGCTTTCAACATTATAAAATTGCATACTTTTATTATTCGGTTGTTAAGTCTGACGTCATGTGTCACTGTTTCTGGGTCCAAACGCTCCTTCAGATGCTAAAAGCAAACAACAAAATCTCCATACCAGAATCTTAGCAGGCTAGAGAGTGATTCATGTTTTAAAAATTGTTCAAATACTGGTGTCCGGGATACCATGAGGCAAGAGGTTGTAGCATACACTATGAGAAACCTGTTAAAAAATAGTGTTCATATTGCAGGTATAACCCCTCTCCCCCGGGTCCTCACCGCCACACCTCGTTCTCGTTCCGAGTGGGTCTCGAACCCGGGTCTCCGGCATGGGAGGCAGACGCACTAACAAGAAGGTTAAAGACCTAGTCACTTGCACAGCACCTACCGCTGGCCTCCGTTACACAGGAAATCGTATTCTTACTTAAATGGAGAGGAGGTTTGGACCCGGAAACAGTATTTGACACATCATGACTTGCAGAGAGCATACAGTCAGCAAATTTCAGTTTTTCAGCAATCCTAGTTTTCGTAATGCCTCTCTCCGATCTCTTCCGATGCTGGGAACCGGCACGTTGACACCTTTGGAACGAGATGATGCATGCAATTCCGTTTTTGTGGATACCGATTCATTAGAATCCATTTGAGTGTCTGCAAAGTGGTTTTTGGTTCCTACTGTAGAAGAACCTGATTGGTGGTTCTGAGAAATTGCATTCAAGACTGGGATGTTAGAACCTGACAGTACAATCCCAGTGTGTTCCAATGTGGCAGATGTCCCGGTTGAAGTCATATCGGCATTTTGCGGATGAGATGAAGCTGTGGAAAGGTCGCACGTTTGGTGGAGAGTGCTGCAACTTTGTACTGGCTGGTTTATTTGTTCTCCAGGTCTTGAAGGAACACTTGGAGCAAGACGTTCACTTGTGGTCTGGTTTTGCTCTTTGTTTGCTGGGGACTGTGAATGCTTTAGTTGTTGACAGATTGGGTTCTTTGCATCCTTAAGGAGACCCAGCTTGCAAAGAGCCTCTACTCTTACTTTCTCTGGGTTCATTAATTTATCTACAGACAATACCCCTGGGTAAGGCATGGTTGAGTTGATCTTGGAGTTGGAGTCTCCTTCCTGGTTCATTGGGACTTTGTGTGGGGTTTTCATTTTAGGTTTAGGGGCCACAGGTGGAGGAGTGGGCTTGGAGTTCCTACTTGTCATAGCCTGTGAGTTCTGGGTATGCGTTTGGGATGTAGGGATGCTTCCCTCATGATCTTTATTTGTAGAAACCTGCTGTTCTTCGGTTTTGGCTTCAGTTGCATTGGTTCTCCGCATTGAAGCACTCTTGCGCAGATGGACCAGTGCTTCATACGAGAGTGGTCCTCTACGTGCCACATTCTCTGGCTGATGATTATTTTGTTGTTCTTCCGCTGTATCTTTACTGCCTCTGATTTTATATGGAGGTGGTATCACTACCACACTGGCCTCTGAGGGAACTCGTAGAGCTTCTTCATGGAGCTGGTTACTTTCACAAGCCACTTTGGGTGCAGTCTTTTTCTGGAATGCAGCTAATTCAGGTTTGGTTTGGATACGTGAGTTATGGTTTGCAAGGACAAATGGAGTAGGAACCATATAATTCAAAATTTCATTTTGCACCAAGCTGCTATATGACAATGGACCTTCAAATGGGCTTTTGGGCACATCTACAAACAATAAAATAATATTTTATTTCATTATCAGCAATAGTTAGGAGTTATAAATACTAAAGGAGCATCAACACACCTTGGGGGAGCTTGTTGAATTCTGTCGACGAGGAAAGGTGGGCTGCTTTGTTAGCTACATTTCCCCGAGCTGGCAGTTGATCAGACTCGTCATTGGATAGGCCACTATCATCCTCTGTATCCAGTGACTGAATGGTCTCCTCTAGGTACATGAGACAAGCCCTCTCCTCAGCAGAGAGATACTCCATACTTTCATCACTCTGAAACATAAATTGTTCGCATTTGTGGACCAGCTTTATTGTGTGCTCATTACAGGGATAGTTCGCTCAAAAATGAAAATTCTGTCAGCATCTTCTCACCCTTATTTTGTTCAAAACCAGAATGACTTACACTCAGGAAAAAAAAAGGTACAAAAGTTGTCACTGGGGCGGTACCTTTCAAAAGGTACAAATATGTACCAATATATGTACACTTTAGGTACTAATATGTACCTCTAAAGTACGAATATGCACACTTTAGGGGTAAATAAGGTACAAAGGTGTACCTTTTGAAAATGTACCGCCCAAGTGACAGATTTTGTACTGTAACTTTTTTTCTGCCTTCTTCAGAACACAAAAGAAGATATTTTGAAGAATGTTTCTGTCCACATGAAGTCAACGGGGTCCAAAACAGCCCTTCATTTCTCAAAATATCTTCTTTTGTGTTCCAAAGAAGAAAGAAAAGTCATACAGGTTTGGAACGACATGAAGTAAATGATGACAGAATTAAAATTTGTGGGTGAACTAACTCTTTAATATATTTTATCAACATTTCCTAGACACACACAATACATCAAAACAACTGAAGATGTAGATTTAAATGTATTTGATAACATTATGTACAGTATGTCTTCATAAAAAAGTATATCTTACAAAGCATGAGTTGAAGCTGACCACACTGTCACAGCTGCCATTACTGTCAATCTCGCCCATTGTGTCGAGGCCATTGCCATCTTGCCACATGTCACTTATCGGCATTTGCAAATTATGGAAACCTCCACCCTGATTTGAATTCAAAGTTCTTTAACAGTGTTGATGAAACTGCTTTTCCCCTAAAAGTAGAATAAAAAATGCTAATGAAGTGTCTTGATATTTGCAAGCATTGGTAGTAATAATAGTGGAAATTGTAGATCAATTAAATACAATCGTATACCAAAAAACACATAAGAGCCAGCAATTATATTTGCATTTTTGTGAACATTATAATGTTCAGATCATGTGAATGAGATTACAAGCAGGTGTTACACTGAGCTTCTCTAGTTGGATCAAGTCCGGCATGAATGGAAGATAGTGAATCAGCTTTTTAAAGATAAACTAAGCTTTGTCCTCCAATTCAGAGTTTAATTGTTTAATATATTGTGCTTCAGAAGTGGTTTCATTTATTCCAGCTTCCACTTACACCAAAGATCAGTAAGAACAATGCCGATTCACTTTGTTTTATTAGTTGTCACATAAAAGGCTCTCAGTTGTAAATTTGAATATGACGTGAATGATGATAACCCTTTTTTTTCTTTCAGTGATGGATTGTATTGTGTAATAATGCAAACGGGTTTTCTTTGTGGAGAGATGAATGGGCCAGTTGCAGTCGGATAGAAAATAAAACAATCATCAGTACAGTATGACATTTGTTTTCAAATGATCATTATATTTTAAAAGTTGAACTGTAATATCGAGCAGTAATCAGTAAACCATAACAATGACTGTAAAAACAAGGTCCATTTCCATAATTAACCCATTGGCCTTTTTAAAAATATAATCTATAACCTTAATAACATACTAATAAAAATGCTTGATTCTTTTTGTAATTGCAACACCGATATGTACTTTGAAATATCGTCTTGTATGCTGTTCTAGAGAAACCATACCATCTATAATCATAAAAACACTGAAATGACTTTATTATACATGTATTACACAAGAAAGCACACTTATCTATGTTATCTACTCTAAGGGTGTGTGAAACTATCTGTGTCAGACTACACTGGAAATTAATTCACAGTGTTTAACACCTGGGTAAGACTAATATAGTAAATAATATTGCTGAACAATCTAAAAAAAAAAAATGAGAGCGTGTATGTTAATTAAAATCTGATTTCAATTGATACATTTCAGCACATTGCATAATTAATTTACTATTCATCTCTGCTTTACATTCTAGAATTATTTGCCAACCTTTTAATTGAAATCTTAAGAATACTCATATGCAGAAATAAACGAATGAAGCATGCCTTAATAAAAGTTAAAATATAATCTATAACCTTAATAACATACTAATAAAAATGCTTGATTCTTTTTGTAATTGCAACACCGATATGCACTTTGAAATATCGTCTTGTATGCTGTTCTAGAGAAACCATACCCATCTATAATCATAAAAACACTGAAATGACTTTATTATACATGTATTACACAAGAAAGCACACTTATCTATGTTATCTACTCTAAGGGTGTGTGAAACTATCTGTGTCAGACTACACTGGAAATTAATTCACAGTGTTTAACACCTGGGTAAGACTAATATAGTAAATAATATTGCTGAACAATCTAAAAAAAAAAAATGAGAGCGTGTATGTTAATTAAAATCTGATTTCAATTGATACATTTCAGCACATTGCATAATTAATTTACTATTCATCTCTGCTTTACATTCTAGAATTATTTGCCAACCTTTTAATTGAAATCTTAAGAATACTCATATGCAGAAATAAACGAATGAAGCATGCCTTAATAAAAGTTTACCTTTAGTGCAGAAACGAGATGGCAGCCCAGTTCACGTGCTTCTGTCAGTGCTGTGAGGTACAGTGAGGTGTCAGTACTGTACATAAAGAAATCCTCGACCAATCATTTTCGTTTCTTTCCTGCAGCAGCCAATCAGAGAACAGACCGGTGAGTGTGGAGCAAAAACTCAAACACGAACAAAACCGAACGTTCGTATCAAACTAGTCGTTTAGTGACTGGAAAAGACTTTATGAAAGATGCGTAAGTACACACTTAACTACACACAGTACTTCTGTGCAGAAAGTGTCGAGAGAGAGGATCACCGGCAAATCCTGGTTAATCGCGTTATGAAGGGTTTCTTAAAATAACATTCGTGTAATCCCCGTCAACTGGAGCTGATTTGATCTGTTTAACTGACTGAGATTCATTATGTTTTCACAGCACATACAGGCGATCAGTTTTATCATCTATTTCTCAAAACTTAACTAGTTTTTATGGTGCTACCTGACTGTGCTACTAGTAAGAAGTCCAGTTGTAACTACTAGTAACTATTCATTCGTTCTTATTCCGATCTGATAGTATATATTAAATTACTCACCATTGTTTAGTCAACACCATTTAGAAACCAAGAAATACTATCTAGTAAATGAGATAAAGGATTAACTATTGATTATATATGAGTAATTCTAAAATAAGCAGTGCTGGGGAAAGTTACTTTGAAAAGTAATGCATTACAGTGTTGCGTTACTCCATAAAAAAGTAACTAATTACGTTACTTGGTTACTTTTTATGGAACGTAATGCGTTGCGTTACTTTTAAAATCTGGACAGGGCTTGCTTGTTCGTTTTTAAAATAGAAAAGTTCTATTTTTGGCGAATATAAAAGCCTTTTCACACCAAAAGTGAGATGAATAAGCCTCAGGCTGAAGGGAAAGTACATTTACATCCGTACAGTAGAATGCAGAAGAAGAAATTTCAACACACTTCAGCAATAAAAAAAGACACAAATGTTTGTCTAGAGCAATTTGTGCTTATTAGTATGTTTGAACCGGATCATCGAAGGTCAGAAGCAAAGACATTGCTTAATAGAATGGGATTAAATACATAAAGCATATTTGTGTTGTTTAACATTTAATTATTGCAGGTTTGCGTCATATTCTGAGTTGCATTTTTTTATTCATTTTGAGGAATACTGAATCTGTGTTTTAGCTTTATTCTTTTTTTTTGTTTTCATTTAAATGTTTTACTTTTGAAACGTTGTTGTATGCATTTGTCATTTTTATTTTCTTAAATGTGTGTGTGTATATATATATATATAGTATTTATAGAGTTTTAGCTTTTAGTTTTAATTACTTTTTCTTATTTGTAAGTCGCTTTGGATAAAAGCGTCTGCTAAATGACTAAAACTAAAAGTAAAAGTAAAAAAGTAAATTAAAAAGTAATGCATTACTTTTTAATTTACTTTTTTACTTTTACTTTTAGTTTTAGTCATTTAGCAGACGCTTTTATCCAAAGCGACTTACAAATAAGAAAAAGTAATTAAAACTAAAAGCTAAAACTCTATAAATACTATATATATATATATAGTATTTATAGAGTTTTAGCTTTTAGTTTTAATTACTTTTTCTTATTTGTAAGTCGCTTTGGATAAAAGCGTCTGCTAAATGACTAAAACTAAAAGTAAAAGTAAAAAAGTAAATTAAAAAGTAATGCATTACTTTACTAATTACTTGAAAAAAGTAATCTGATTACGTAACTCACGTTACTTGTAATGCGTTACCCCCAACACTGAAAATAAGTACTGGTAGCATAAAATAGATACTAGTTAAATAAATGTTGAAAGGCATATGCAAACAAGTCAGCATTGGGTTTCCTGTTTCAATAGCAATCATGGAACAATTTGCTTGGGAAAGTTTAATACTGGCACTAACATTTTGGCAGTAGTTAGTTAACACTAGCAACTAACTACTAATAACATTTAGTTAAAAACTAATTAGTTAGACAAAATAAATAATAAATAAATCACACAAGATATTTATATATATATATATGTATGTATATCATTTCAAGTTTATTTATCATTACCCAGTATAACCAGTGATTTTGTAGCAATGAATGCTGTACATGCAGTTTCTCACTCAAAGTTACCTTAGTGTAGATAAAACACTGATCCCGGCCATTTAGAAAAATCACCGCAAAATAAAAAGAAAAGTCCTTTGGACTTACAATGGCACCATTTCTTCAAAATAAAAAGGCTGCAAACAAGTAAACAACAGTGTGGATATTACCTGACTGAAAAATACTGAGAATGTACATCATCATCAGGCCTTACAAGATGTTTTCTCTCTAAAGTTCATCCACACTCACACCAATATGATACTTTGCTACACTAAACCTCAGACATCGGCCCTGTACGCAGGAAAGAGTTCAGTATGACACATTTCATCACTTAAAATGTCAAATGAAAGTCACTACAATCACTCTTCCTAACAATATGTCATGGTCACTTGAGAGAGAATAAACACATTTTGCATAAAACAATCTTGTGTGGTCATTTGCAGAAATTACACAAGTGCCCTTCAAAGAAAAACAAAATCTAGATTCACAAAATAGTTCAGTGAGATTCTACTATCAGCACCATTGTGGTCCACTTCAACTCAAAATCCACGCTTTCTTGCTAACTAGCTTCCTCAAAATGTGTAAAAACGGCATTGAGTAGAGTATTCAGAGTCGAAATTGATCTATGTGACTATTTCAAGTAACAGGTACAATGGAGCCAGTGAACTTAAGACTTCATGTAGCGCCATCGATTGATCAGAAACTGTGCGTATGACCTTAAAAAGACAGATCATATAATAAATACAGTAATGCCATGATTAAATTAGAGTTAATGAAAGGCATGTTTTTAGCTGTGCTCCACCGTTCAATACTACTCTTGCCACATCCACAGAAGCACTTTATGTGTGAAAAGATGAACATTTATGATATATTTGTTTTAAAAATGAACAATTAGTATGCCTTATGCGATCACTCATTAAAACTTTCAATATTTGTTAGGTACTACCAAGGGTTTAGCTATAGCACTGTCAAACAGTCGCACATCTTTGAGCTGCAGGCAACAGAAAAGTGTTTACATGAGGTTATGGGTGAATCTCACGAAAACATGTCTAGGTCACATTTAACAGCGAAACTGAAAGAAAAAATGCCGTTATATTTAGCATAAACAAAAGGATTTTAAGAGCATTAAGATTTTTTAAATGTATATGATTTTTATGACATTTTCACTCTAAATTATTAAAAGTAATACAGTAACTACTTTTACAGTTAAAATTACTATAATAAAATTAATAAGCATACATCCTGAGCAGCCTACCATCAATACGGCAATGTATAAATACTTCATAATTTATAATATCATAATATATTACTAATATTACATTAAAATTTGGGGGGAAAATGTGCCTAATTGTCATGAAAAATATCACAATGCAAAAAAAAAAGGCATCCTCTCTCTCTCCCTATATATATATTATAAATTAATATCTATAATATAATATTAATTATATTTGAATTGTGATTTTACACACAATTATTTTTATTTTCTTCTTTGATTTTGCAGTGAAACGTGACCTGGATGTGTTTTGCAAAATTCACCCTAATACTAGTATTGTAACCATTATTAAAAAAAGGTAGTCAGTGGAGAATCCCTTTAAAATTTGGTTTGAAGAAACGGCTTTGTTGTCGTTTCTGGCTAACAGACTAAAAACACGAGCATATTTAATACTTCAACCTCAAGAGTAAAGCAAAGTTAAAAGAATACTGAATAATTGGGGAACTCGACAAGAGAAAGTCTTCTGAAGCCGCTAGAGAATGTGAGGTAGAGGACTGTACCAAGCTGGAACGGGCAGCAGTGAAAGAGCGGGTACCATGTCAGGTGGCGTGGCAGTGACGCGGCAAAGGTGTGTGTGTGTGTGGGGGGGTAGGGAGGGAAGGGATGGGGGTGATTTCAAAAACAGAGCGAAGATCATCACACCTCCCCAAAGTTGGTGTGGCCGGTCTCCTTGGCATGCTCCCTTGCTTCCTTCTGCCCCACCAGGCCAGTTTGGCACACCATGCAGCGCAGAGTGAAGCGGTTGACATCCGTGTACTGACGTTTCCTCCGGGCCTCATCCGCAAGCTCCAACGCTTGGGCCAAAATTACATCATCGGTAGTGGAGAAAACAGTCTGTGCGGGAACATCTGAATTTGGCACCACCTTCTGGATCGGGTCATAATGAATACCATCATAAATAAGCAGCACTCGTTTGGTGTAACCCGCATCCTCGCCGAAGCGGTCGACGCGCACAGTCTGAGTGTCAACGACGCAAATCTCAGCCTGGTAGAACTTAGAGAGGATTGAAACCTCAATGGCGCCTCCCCACGTGTCATCGCGACGGATCCAGGTGCAATAGTCCTCATTAGTCTTGCCCAATACTGCCTCCGAGTACGCGGTGGGGTCACTAGCTACAATTTGTGCAATGAGCCCGCGCATTTCAGGCACACAGGCTGGGTCGTAAACACCTCCTTCCATAACGTAGTTCACACTTGTAAACAGACAAGAGTTGTCGGCAGGGACGACGTGGCGCACTAGAACTGGGGACAGGTCAAGACTGGGCCCTTTGGTCACAGCGGTTTGTGTTCGGGGTTTGGGTTTGTTCTTCTCCTCCTCTACAATCAGCGTGTCTCCTGGAACAGTAAACGTATCGATGACCGACACAGGAAACTCAGCAACAACAAAAGTGCACGAATGGCTTTATAAACACAGAATTAAAGGAATAGTTCACCCAAAAATGAAATTTGCTGAAAAGTCGTTTCAACGTTTTAACTTCAACCCATCGTTTCTGGCTAAAATACGAGTCCTCTATCCATAATATTGCTTTAAGTGGTGTGGATTACTTTGGATTATTATATAGATATTTAAGACTCTCATTCAATGCAGAGGATCCACTGGTGAGCAAGTGATGGAATGCTAAATTCTCCAAATCTGTTCCAATGAGGAAACATACTCATCTACATGTTGGATGGCTTAAGAATGAGTACATTTTCATTCTTGGGTGAACTATTCCTGTAACACATTGCAAATAAAGTAGGGTGACCATATGTGCCATTTTCCCAGGACGCGTCCTGGCCAGGATTTCTATATTGCCTAAAATATCTAGGTTTTGGCTTTGTTTGCATGTGCAGACCGATCGGTGTATGACATCAAAATACCATACAGACGGTTCCTTATGCTTTCAAAATA